GTAAACGATAGTGTTAGCGTCAGTATTGTTACGTAATCTGAATTTTCGAGAAACTCTCCACACGCCTATGAATATAACCAACGCGACGTGCCAAAAAAAAACAAAAACGTATCTATTATTGGGTTGCTGTAATTGGTGTGCTATAAACTTCGTAAGCTATAACAGTGATTAACACTTATTAATTTGGAAACTTCAGATATTTGACCAAGAACGTTTATAAATTTCGATCATTGCAAACCATTTGTCTTCAGTGAATTCACATCGGACGTTAGAAGTTTTACGAAAACATTATCTAACGTTATCGGTAGAAACTCGACCTGTAACCGGCGTGTGATCAGCGCGAACTACAGGGCTAGCTAGCTTCCTGTTGAGTGAATTATACCTACGTCAACTCGAAATTATATCGCTCATCGTCAACCCTGGATAACATATCAAGGAAGTTCCAAACTAGAAAGAAGACTTTATTCTGCTTGTCAGTTTGTGAAACTTTTTTATGTAAATCATTGTTTGTAGTAACTGTTATTGTAAATTGTATAGTTGTTTGTATATTAAAACATATTTGTGTTAAAAAAAGAAAACTGTGAGTAGCACTCTTGTTGACAAATATCATAAACTGGAGAGATATTGGCATACACTTAAATACTAAATTTAAATTATCATTTAACTCGGTTTCAGATCATTCAAAATTTTAATACGTAACAGTGGTGATGAATAGCTGCCTTCCCTCTAGGTTTAAACTGCTAAATTAGGGGCAGATAATGCAGATAGCTCTCGTGTAGCTTTGCGCGAAATTCCAAACAAACAAACATAACAATTAAAAATATCAACGTTTTTACTTACAGCAATGTTAGCTTAGTACAGTTTTAATTCATATTTTGAGTAGTTTCTATATTTACTTTTCTGTTATTTTGAAATCAGAAATTAATGTGCTAAGTGTTTATGGGACGTTGGTGGATCGGTGATTGTCTAAACGTACGAAATAAATTAATAGCACGTTATATAAAAATTAATACTCGCAATGACACTAAATGAGGATGTTAATGAAATACTAGAATAAGAAATAATTAAAACTAGTTTTATCTGACATATACTTAAGAAACGTCCCATACTATACATGTGAGTATCAATAAATTACTAATTAAATGCATTAAAGGTATGTATAAAAACATGTTAGGGTGAGAGTAAGGCCTTAGAGCGATGATAGATAAAAGTTGTGTTGTTGTTAATCTATACTTCTCTTCAGTTTTTACTGATAAAGATTGAAGCAATATTCGTCATCGTTAACAGTTGCAAGATGGAAACAGGATTAAAGAAGATGATCACATTCATTCTGAGCTTGTTTAAAGATTACTAGATCTTCTGTGCCAATTAATATTTCCTCAAGGGCTCTGAAGGATATTATGGATTGGATATGTGAGCCACTTGCTATTATTTTTTCTATGTTATTAAATAGTGAGCAGGTGCCAGAAGATTCAAAGTTGGCTAATATATTACTCCTCTTTTCAAGGGAGGTGGTAAAACAATGCCCTAGTAATTATAGGCCTATTAGTATGACAGTAGTTGTGGGAAAATATTTTAAGAGCCGATAAAAGTGGCTTTGCAAAGTTATTTAATCAAGTTTAATATTTTCTGGATTGTCGGTTTCACTAAGATAAAATCTTTACTAATATTTTGATAATTCTGATAATTTATTACTGGTGATGTAGATGAGGATAGTGGACTGGATTTTAAAAAAGCATTTGACAAGGTGCAACATAAAAGGCTCAGGTTAAAACAATTATCTCTCTAGGCGAGGAGGATAGGTTGGCTCAACAGACAGAAAAATGGGTGGATTGAAGAAAGAAGAGGGTTGTTATAAATGGAGTTCAGTCAAACTGGATTAATGTCACAATTGGTATTCCTCATGGATCAGTGTTAGCACCTTTGCTCTTTATATTTACATCAGTAACATAGATAAGGAAATGACCAATAAATTATCTAAATTTGTTAGTGTTATCAAGGTTTTGGGTGTTGATGACTGTAAGGAGGCCGCTGTTGCTTTATAAAAGGATTTGGATTATTTGGTGAGTTTAGTTAATAAATGGCAGATGGTTTTTAATTGTAATAATTGCCAAATGTGTGATATCATAATTTGAATTATAGGTAATTTTGATGGGAATACCCTTGTCATAAGCCATCCAAGAAATGTGTTGTTACTAGTGGCAGAGCATATAGGATTTTAGATTGTATTTATAGAAATACTGATTACAAGAATAAATAAGTTATAATTCTATTGTATAGGTAATTGGTTAGGTTAATATTGGGTTCACTCTAGAGTTTTTTACCTTAGGAAAGGCATTTAATTGTTGGAAAGGGTTTAGAGGAGGTCTACTAGGATATTACCTGAGATGGCAAAGTTGTCATTGGAGAACAGTTTAAGTACTCTGAAATTGTTTTCTCTCGAAAAAGAAGAGTTGAGGGATTTTAAATTGTTAAGGTAATTGACAATGTAGATTCTTTTTAATACTTAATGGGGAGAATGGTGGGACTGGTGGATGTATATTATACTGAAAATGCGAATCTTGTATTAACAATTTATTAGGCTATTAAAAAAATGCTTTAAGTTCCATTTATTCAGTGTTAGTGCAAAGTACCAATATCGATTTAGCTTGAAATTGAATCTTGATTATGGATTCTAATTTGATTGGTTAAACGATTCTCAGACTTTCATATCGTTTCAAAATCAGAGATAAAAATCGTTAAAATGTAAAGTAGAATAAAAGGTTCTGAATATCTCAAATATAATTCGATTTGGCTTTAGCGATAGCTGTTATTGACAATGATGAGATATAAAGCTCGTACTTTAAGTCCCATTATCCTAGAAAATCATACTTATCAAGGAAACAACTTACTTTTATTTTCTGTATGGATATAAAACGTTATTTGAAATTATATTTCACCTTGAAATGAACAGGCGCAAAACATTTCTATCATCACATTAACAGTAGCAATAACATATATAAATAAACCAGTAAAATATAATGTTTTTTTATTTATATTACAAAAATGATTAAATAAAACAATATGAAATTGGAAGTGAATAAACAAGATGATGAAATAAATCGATGCCTTCAAATTAAGCAGTACCTGCATGACAGTTGTTCGATGACAATATATTTCACTCACTTGTTATAAACAAGTATCCTCTTCTGAGTGCATGTATGTTTGTGTATAAGTCAGCATATAAATAATGATTGATGCTAAAATAAAGAGACAGATATAAACACAGTATTCCTGAAACTAAAACTTAATTGTTAACAGTGGGACCATTCCTGAATATACCGTATTGCATGCTTTGTAGTTTCGTTCTCATTGCTAAAAGCTGTACCTTGAAAATGGATTAAAAATAATTGTTAAGTCAAATCAATAACTTCAATCTTATTAGCATGCTCTTTCCGAGACAAAACTTATAGGTAGTGTTTTGTTTCCCCAGTCACCATCACCTCACAATATGCTGAGTCATAATTGACTAAAGTCAATTAAAAATCCGTGGCTATTTAAAAGATTTAATAAGAGAACCTATCTGTCAGAAACGTAGATAAGTAATGGAAAGAAAAGAGTTAATAAAGAATAATATATCAAAACTTTTGAATGTTTATAATTGACATTCATGACTTAGTAGATTGAGTTCTGATTAATACTTCTATGATGGCTGAATTTCGTAACATACATAATCAAGAGCCAGAGTATCTGACTGAGGATTTAGCGCATTTTAAATACTGAAGGTTTAAAATACTCTAAGCTGGTTAAGGTTATAATTCGGCTTTATTTTCAACTGTAATCGTTAGTTTTTCAGAGCATACTGCAGTAATTAATTCAGATTAAAATTTATTCAGAGTATTAAATGAAAAATTACACTAAAACACGTTTTGATGTCATTTGCTTTAGTTTTAACCAAAATATTCGTTTCCTTATTTTCAAATGTCCTTCACAATTTACCTAATAAAAAAGAACAGGGAGATGAATTTAACATTTAGAAAAAAAATACTTGGTGTTTGATTAAATTTACCGGGCAAAAAGTCAACAGATAGTCATAATACACTAGTATACAGTCCACCACTATATGAATGAGGGTTGGAATTCCCCAAAACCGGTTTTACTCAGTGACAAATGGTGAAACCAACGATAAATTCGGTTGGATATTTAATTTTACCATATTAAACAGCTTATCTGCTAAACAATTCAAAAAAGACAAATTAATAGCATAAATACTACATATTCTTCAAATCTCATATAAATAGAAGTCACTCTAAAAAACAACTCGAAACACCATACATATAATATACACTACACTCCTTCGCTATATGAAGCCAAGTCTTTTTTTCTTTATCTTACAGATCCATTAAGATCAGTCATCAGTTTTATCTCCTCATATCGTCTGGTCAACAATACGGCGTTACCCTCTGCTGGCCCACCCTCATCGGTAACTCTGGGCAAGGGAAAATCGAAGAAAAAAATATTATACTTTGTATAGTCGTGGAGTGTATTTATTCGTATGGTGTTTCGTTGTTGATGTTTTTAGTTACTCACTACAGTGACCTATATTTATATAGAATTGAAAAAATATGTAGCATTAAACAACATACATTCAGCTACTATATAAAGCCTAACATTGTTCTTTTTATTTTCCTTTCTAGTTTCTACTACACTGATTCAAAATTTATTTTACTCCTGCTCATTAATATCTCCACAGTTTCCTACATTTTGATGATTCTCTTGTCTAAAGACAGAGGCCAACTCTCTGCTGACCCTTCAGTTTCTTTACTGGGACTGGAATCAGCTGACATAAAAAAAAGATCTTTGTCCAGGGTTATTGATGAGGGGTGGAATACACTGAAACCTGTATTACTCTGTGACAAGTGGTGAATCCAAAGATTGATTGAACTTCATATTTATTTTTATACTTTGAATGATTCAGCTGGAAGTGAAGAACTACAGAATATTTGCCAGGATAACATTACCGTTCTGTCTCCTAGCTGGTGAATTCTGCAGTGAAGATAAGCAGCCTTGCCGAGCGGAGCTGTAACATTACGGCTTGTGCTGTTATCGAAGTAGGGCCGATGATATGGGTCGTCCCAGTTAGAGTTAGGCCGGGAAGGAGGCTCCACTTTTGATATTCTGAAACTTCTTTCAGTTCGTGTAACCGGATCAGAGAAGTGGTTGAAATGCTGATCTACTAAAAATAAAATTACATATGTATATATTAGTTTTAATAACTAATCTATAAATATGTATGTACACATATATTCTGTATTTTCAATGTATGGTTCAAGTAAATTTAAACATTATAATAATAATATGGCTTTCCTCGTCTGCAGACAATCCTACAGTGATTCGAGAGAAGTTTATATGTTGTTGTTTTTTTGTCCTCTAACACCTCTTAGGCTTTTGCATTTGGAACTAACAAATATGGTTTAATCAGCTAAGAATGAATCTGGATGTGTCAAGAAGAAGTTACTTTTCTTTTAAAATGCGCAGATGTCACAGCTCCAATGATGGCTAAATATAGATCAGTGAGTGGGGGGGGGGGGGCACTAGAGGTAGTGATGAAAATTTTCCCAGTTTCCTCTTTCATTACATGTGGTATATATACAGTCTATGTACTTTTAATCATTACTGGCATTGTTAGAACAAAAACAGATACATTATTTATATTCATAACTGGTAAAACATTAATTCTTCAATTTCATTTAGTTTTCAAATCCCATCAATCATCTGAGGGATTTTTTCACACATTGTTTATGCATACTTTCAAGATAGACACACTTACATAAAGTGAGACGTTTTTATTTCACATGCTACTTATTGCTTTTCGATAACAAAACTAGATTATAAAATAATGATATTTAAATAATCAAACCCAGTGGATATGAATTATTTTTATTCCCATGTACTTACAATTTTTATATTGCCACTGACACATTTCGAAAAAAACTAACACATTTTTATATTCATAATTCTTAAAAATTTCATTTCCAAATCTTATCGATCATTTGAAGGATTTAATATTTATTGATATAAACACCTCATAACAATACCTTTCAACAATGTGTGCTTTATTATAAGACATCTAATACACACTTTATTTCTTTTATGTATTTTACACGCCTCCAGGGTGTGATGATGCAAAATAAAGTACACAAAGAAGCTTAACAATAACAGAAAGAAAGTAAGGTTGCGTATGCAAACATAGCTACAAATCTCAGTAAAGATGTAGCCATAGATAAAACGAATCAGTGACACTTCTCTATAATATCATCTGCTAGTATAGTCAAATTAAAGTAATGCAAAGGCTGTAATGCATCCACACTTTATATGTAAGAGAAGCAACTGAAATTGACTTATAGTCGTTCACTATTTGTGATGTTCAGAAAATAAGGAAAGTATTAAGATTGTTAAAGGTATTCAAGCAGTGAAATTGGGGAGGATTAAACTAAAGAAAAATTACAATATATATATATATATAATATATTCATGTACAGCTAGTTTATTGTGATACACATTATAATATACCTACAGGCATTATTTAACATAGTGTCAAACTGGTATCAAGATACACTTTAGAAATCTTCCTACATTATCATCATATTAGATTCTGTTCATTTTAGTTTCAATATCTAGGATGTATCAGTTCTGCATAATTATTGTAAAAATCATGCAACGAAATCCGATGTACGTGAAACAAATATAATTTCTTCTACTAATATTAAATGTTATCTAATTAGGTGGTTACTTTTAATTCAAGTTATTAGACAGTAGTTTGTCTAATAATCAACAACAGTAGAATAACGTAATGCAAGGTCTTTATTACAAAGCTATTAGGTATACGTTGTAGCAAGTGGAATAATTATTTGTGTTTCGCTTTAAGTTGCGTAACTCAACTATCTTTAGACACTTTCAAATATGTTTTCGTCTTTGATTAAATACAATTTTCGTTTTCGTGAAATTAAGGAAAATCATACATTCACGCAATGTTTTTCGTAAAAAGAAAACAAAACAAAAACAATTACATAACCAAGTAATATATAATTTTCATGAACAAAATATTACACTAAAATGTAGTATTCAAAATACTTATAACTATGGCACGAGGTGATAATAAATGTTGCATTTATAACTTAAGAATGTTTAAATAGTGTTACAACCGGGGAAGAAAGTTACTTTAAAACTACTTGCACTTAAAACAACTATATTTTGCGCTCTGCACTTTCGGGTTGTGATTGCATTATAGGAGTGGCCGTCAAATCCCACTATTCTGTTTGAGAAGGTAGGCCAAGAGCTGGTGAGTGGTGTTGACTAGATGTCCTTACTCTAGTCTACCACTTCAAAATTAGGGCCAGGTAGCCCTCGTGTAGATTTGCACGAAATTCAGCAAACAAATAAAATCTTTAACTTATAATTACAGATTGTCATTTAACAGATAAATAATGAGGTTCCGAGTTTACATGTACGTAATGAGTACAGTATTTGTCAGTACAGTACAGTACAGTTACATGTACGTAATGAGTACAGTATTTGTCAGTACAGTACAGTTACATGTACGTAATGAGTACAGTAATTGCCAGTACAGTACAGTACAGTTACATGTACGTAATGAGTACAGTAATTGTCATGT